ACGATAAAGTTCTCGCCGGCACCAATCGCACGTGTGTTTTAATTTTATAATATATCATATATACTATTTTGACATGTAATGTTTTGCAGCAACATAATTACCGCAGGAATCTTTCTTCTAATTAATTTCCTTTCAATGTGCACAAATCCATGCACCGGGCCACTAGTATTCACAGAAATCTTCACAAAAGCCTATTTACTTCATTTCCTCTATTATGCAGCACAACATGACCAGCTTTCAACAAAAACTTGCGGTGCGTGCCAAGGTAGGAGAAAACACACTCCAAAAGCACAAAGGAAGCATTAGAACTAGATTCAGATACGACACAGCTGTTGGGAAATCAGACAGGTAATTTAAAATATCTATGATTGATATGTTAGAGACACTAAAGGGAAAAGTAGACAACATGCAAGAACAGGTAATATATGCAGAGAGATGAAAACTCAACAGCAACAAATAAAAGGAAATGAGAGAAATCCAAAGCACCGTAAAAAGCACTGTAACAAAGATGAGGCCCGCCTTTGATAGGCTCATCAATAGACTTGACATGGCAGAGGGGAAAACATCAGTGCGCTTCAAGATAGGCCAACAGAAACTTCCCAAACTAAAAGGAAAAGGAAAAGGACAAAACACCCAAGAGCTGAGGGGCAATTTCCACCTCAAAAAGCCAAACATGCACCCAGCTGGCATGGCTCAGAGGTTGAGCATAGACCTATGAACCAGGAGATCACTGTTTTATTCCTGGTCAGGGCACATTCCCGGGTTGTGGGCTCAATCCCCAGGGTGGGGTGTACAGGAGGCAGCTGATCAATGGTTCTCTCTCATCATTGATGTTTCTATCCCTCTCTCCCTCTCCCTTCCTCTCTGAAATCAATTTAAAAAGAAAAAACAAAACAGCCAAACATGCATAATATGAATTCCAGGAAGAAAAGGGAAGGAGGGAGGGAGAGGGAGGGAGGGAGGGAAGTCATCAATATAAACTCATGTTTAGTTTAATGTAGATACAGATGCTTACACATGGAAATATTTGTAAATATGTGTAGATACACGTTAATATACACATGTATATTTGCTTGCTCCATCAGCTGAGAGGGCAGAGAAGCAAAGACACCCCAGTAGCAACTAGCACACTAACCACTGTGCTGTACATCTGAAACTAATATAATATTGAATGTCAATTGTAATTAAAAAATAAAATTTTAACTGACAAATCTCAATTGATGGACATTCTACCAAAGACCTGACCAGCACTCCTCGAAACTGTCAAAATCATCAGAATCGAGTAAAGTCTGAGAAGCGGTAGCAACCAAGAGTAGCCTGAGGAAACATGACAATTAAATGGAATGTGATATCTTGGATAGGCTCCTGGGACAGAAAACGGATATTAGGTTAAAACTAAGGAAATTCTAATAAAGTATGGACTTCAGTTCATAATAGTGTATGTGTATTGGTTCATTAATTGTAACCAATGCACCTTACTAATGTAAGAAGGTAATTACAGAGGAGACAGGGTGTGTGGGGACTATGCTCCTAATTTTTCTGTAAACCTAAAACTGTTCTAAAAAGTTTACTTTTATAAATAAAGTGAATGCTACCCAAAGAGAACATGTGCAGTGAGCAGGAGTACAAATAGTAAAAGCCCTGGCTGGTTTGGCTCAGTGGATAGAGCATGGGCCTGCGGACTGAAGGGTCCTGGGTTCAATTCCAGTTGAGAGCACATGCCCGGGTTGTGGGCTCGATCCTCAGTAAGGGGCATGCAGGAGGCAGTCAGTCAATGATTCAATGATTCTCTTTCATCATTGATGTTTCTATCTTCCTCTCCTTCTCCCTTCCTCTCTGAAATCAATAAAGATATATTAAAAGAAAAAGAGAAGCCGAAGCCGGTTTGGCTCAGTGGATAGAGCGTCGGCCTGCGGACTGGAAGGTCCCGGGTTCGATTCCAGTCAGGGGCGTGTACCTGGATTGCGGGCACATCCCCAGTGGGAGATGTGCAGGAGGCGGCTGATTGATGTTTCTCTCTCATCGATGTTTCTGACTCTCTATCTCTCTCCCTTCTTCTCTGTAAAAAATCAATAAAATATATTTTTAAAAAAAAAAAGAAAAAGAGAAGAATTAGAGTTGGTCTTCAACATCAACTTTAAATTCTTTTTTTAAAAAGTCCTATAGGCACCAGGAGGATGGAGATCTGCGGAAAGTATAGTTGCACAATTGCCAGAAACCTTAAAACTTTGTTGCTCCAAGTGTGAACCACAATCAGCAGCATCCTCTTGAAGCTTTAAAAATGCAGAATTCCGGGCCCCACCCTGACTTGCTGAATACGAATCTGCATTTTAACAAGAGGTACTGGTGCTTGATATGCACATTAAAATTTAAAAGGCACTAGCTTAATGACTATCAAATATAAATTGCTTAGTCACCCTGTCTCCCCAAAGCACCCCACAGCAGAATTCTTCTACCTATAAATCCCAAGAATTCAACTTTTCTAATAGGTATATTTATTACAAAAGTTGATGAACTTAGCAAGGATTTTAATTGTGGAAATATCTCTAACAGGACAAAGTACAGGCTGGAGCCCTGCCCAAAGATATTCTTAGTTTTTAATCTAAATTCTGTGCTAGTTAACCACCCCTCTAAAAGCTTAGAGAGTTGGGATGGGGAGTGCCTTTTTATTTTTTAAAATATAATTTTATTGATTTCAGAGAGGAAAGGAGAGGGAGAGATAGAAACACCAATGATGAGAGAGAATCATTGATTCGAGCCCGCAACCTAGGCATGTGCCCTGACTGGGAATCAAACTGTGACCTCAGGGTTCACAGGTCAACGCTCAACCATGCCAGCCAGGCTGGGGAGTGCCTTTTAAAAACACATGTATGTATCAGTTCAAGGTACTGCTATAAATGAGTTCACTCCAACAGAGAGAGAAAAAGGCTCTTCCTCTGCCCAGGTAACGGTGTGTTCACCTCTATCTACAGAGGAAAATCAGGCAGAGTAATTACAGGTGGAATAAGGACTATAAGCTCCAGATTCCTCTCAGGAAACATTTCTGAGTCTAAATGCACTTTTTAATTAGCTCTTCCAATAGCATCATGCTAATTGGCTAATTTGGAAATGATATGAGACTCCATGTGCTCTAAAGAAAATCTGTTTGTTGATACATTTATTTGCACCTGAGACTGTCTTAGTGCTGGCAGGACAGATATTATTAAAATAGAATCACCTGCTTGTTTTAACCAGATTTAAAAAAAAAAAAAAAAGAAGAACACACATGAATTGGCTTATCCCTAGGGTTTCAGGAGGAAGTATTAACATTTTGAGTGATGAGAAATTGCCACTTGGATGGGAAATAAATGAGCTTTAAATAGGTCCCATTATTTTTTTTACAAGGTTATTATAATAAATGTTTCATAATAGAAGAAATGCCCTTCATGTCGATCCTCATTGTTGGTTTATAATTGGGGTGCTAACCTCTAACTAGCCCAGCTCTTCACACCAAGCCTCGGTGAGTTTTCGTAAGTGATTTTTCCATAAAATAAAATTAACTTTTATTGGACTACACATTTCCAATAAGTTTCTCGGTTTGTTAGCTATACTGTGAAGAAAATGTATGAAATTTATTAGCTTGGGTTAGGAAATGGTCGCTTTTTAAAGTTTTTATGTGATTAATATATTTCACTATTAATAAGACTGTCCTGAACATTATAGAAACATGATTTATGTGAGAGCATAGTGACGTATTGGGATATTTATATTTGCTGAATATTTCATATTTGCTTTTCTTGTTCCATGGAGATGATACTTTGTAATCCAAGCAAAACTCCCCTCTAGGTTACTACTTAAAGTGTTCCTTTCCAGCCTACTTAGTGCCACTAAATAATAAAAGAAATACTGCATGGATCACCCTGGATTTCAGAAAGTGCAGTGATAAATTGTCTCCTCCCAGTAACTTAACTTGAGCAGGCTGCAGCTATTCTGCATTGTGGGCTAAGCCTCACTGCTAGGTTTGGAAATGCTGGGGTGCCCCCTACCGTTGTAAATTAGGAGGCACTTCTCTTGGCTGTTCCACTCAGAAAACAGGATTCTTCCCCAAATGTCACTCACTTAAGCAAAGTTCAGGTAAGCAATGGTTAGTCACAAGGATGGATGAATGGATAGATGGATGGATGGATGGACGGATGGATGGATGGATGGATGGATTCATGGATGTGTTTGCATAGAGGATTATTGGAGAAATTTGAAAAAATGTCTGTAGATTGAATAATAATGCCTTAGCAATAGTAATTTTCTGATTTTGAAAACTGCACTATGGTTGGTAACAGAATATCCTTGTTTACAGAAAACACACAGCAGAGTGTTTACAAGTAAAGTATGCATGTGTGGATTGGTGGGTAGGTGGTGGGTAGATGGATGGATGAATGGATGGACGGATGGAGTTAAAGAAAACAGAGCTGGCCCTAGCCAGCCTGGCTCAGTGGATAGAGCTTCGGCCTGCAAACTGAAGAGTCCCGGGTTCGATTCCGGTCAGAGGCACATGCCTGGGTTTTGGGCAACATCCCCAGTAGGAGGCGTGCAAGAGGTAGCCAATCAATGATTCTCTCTAGTTATTGATGTTTCGCTCTCTCTCTCCCTTCCCCTTCTTCTCTGAAATCAATAAATAGTTTTTAAAACTTAAAAAAAAAGACACCTAAAGAAAAGATTAACAAAATGTGGAAGGCAACATTTTGTGAACCTGACATCACAAACCAGAGTTTGAATTTCAGGTAACCAACTAAAAAGAATAGACTTCTTAGGCATAGTAAACATTACAAACTTCTAATATCATTCTGAACTACACTTTTGGTGACTTTCCAAGCTCTTGCTTGTCAAGTTCTTTGGCGCTTTATAAAAACAATAAATTTTTAAAACCCAAATCTAATTTATTAGCAATGCATACAGGCATATGAGTCCTAACACAGTGATTACTGAATTATCATATAATAGCTAAAAGCAGAACATACTGAACATAGATTTAACAATTCCTTTATTTAAATGAATGAACTCCCAAAATATCACATGGTTGTTTTACATTTAGCCCGTTCTGCATGTCGTAGCTCATCTAGAACATTTCTAATGGTCTCAATACAGACTTCTCCTCTGTGATGTTTTTTTGATGCAAGATTCCATACATTTTCAAATTCTTCATCAGAAAGCTTGACACCAATCTTACATAATATCTCTGCAATCTAGAAGAAAACATTACAAGTCAAGCCAAGATTTATATAAATTTGTATTTTTATAATATGTTTGTAGCATATAAGACTATGAATATTTATCCAAAAAAATGTGGTGATAGGGGGTAATTTGTGAGTGTGTGTGTGTGTGTATCTATATATATAAAAGTCTAAGTGACTGAATGACCACTCAACCGGTCGCTATGACGCACACTGACCACCAGGGGGCAGACACTCAATGCAGGAGCTGCCCCTGGTGGTCAGTGCGCTCCCACAGCAGGAGCGCCACTTAGCTGACCAATGGGCGCCAGATGCCAGGCTCATGGCTGGCGAGTGCAGCTGCGTTGGCATGAGCCTCTCCCGCCTCCATGGCAGTGCTACCAAGCAGTGGCAGCAGGTGCAGCAGGGACCGGGATGAGGGGTCTCGGATTGTGAGAGGGCACAGGCCAGGCTGAGGGACCCCCCCACATGCACAAATCCATGCACCGGGCCTCTAGTTACATATAATAAGCACACTTTGCTTATTAATCATCTCTCTGAAGTGGTAATTATTAAAAGAGATGAAGGGAGAAGAAAAATATGCTGTTCATGTCCCAGAGAAAGTATAAGAAAGGAAAGATAAGAACTGGTAGTGAAAAGAAATGTTAGAATGAGGAGAGGTAATAAAAGACTTGAGGGGGGAAAAACATTTACTCTAAAGCATACAGGAAAAAAAAAAAAGCAAAGAGGGAAATGAAAGAAAGGTTAGACAGGGAATAGGAAAGCCAAAGAACCAGAATAGCTGCAGAATACATCTATTAAACAGAATCTGAACAAGAATTAAAAGATCCCCTGGAAAGGATGTGCCCTTGTGGGAAATTAACAGTATAATCAAATACACTTGAAACTCAGAACCACAGCTCTGTGGGCAGCTGCAGCCATACAGCAAAAACACCTTAAGGTCCCAAAGCACAGCTGCTGTTCTTCCGCACCCAGTGGCAAGTAAAGAATGTCCCTGCAGCCGAAACCGGTTTGGCTCAGTGGATGGAGCGTCAGCCTGCGGACTGAGAGGTCCCAGGTTCGATTCCGGTCAAGGGCATGTACCTGGGTTGCGGGCACATCCCCAGTGGGGGATGTGCAAGAGGCAGCTGATCGATGTTTCTCTCTCATCGATGTTTCTAACTCTCTCTATCTCTCTCCCTTCCTCTCTGTGAAAAATCAATAAAATAAAATAAAATAAAAAAAGAATGTCCCTGCAGAGTGACTCATGCCGTGGGCATCTCAGATCTCCTCTCCGCCCCTTTGCCAGTCCTCCGGAGGCATTCTCCCTCGTTCAGCATCCCATCATGGTGTACTGATCCATCAATAGAATACTTTTACAGAAACCCACATCTAGTCCCAAGTTAACCCCAACCAGGCCTTTGGTTCTTACTTTTTATCTAGTATTATGAGATAAAGGATGACTTCCTAGCTAAAAGAATTTAAGCTACATAAAACAAGCAGGAGATTTTTGTGAGCTTTTTTTTTGGGGGGGGGGGAGGCGGCTGTGGGGGGAGGTTGCGGAACCCTGACCTTCTATTTCACAGGCCCTTTGGAGTGATTGAAGGAAGTGAAAACATAGACCAGGAATGTCTCTTCTCTAACTCACTGAGGAGGATCCTGGCCTCCTGCTTTGGAACCAGCCAGCAGGCATGGTCCTCTGAGCTTCTCCCTTCCTGTCTCCCCCACCTCAGCAGAACGAATGGTTGCGATGAATCTGGTATTTAGTATTTAGTGAGTGCTCAAGCTACCAACCCTTCATGTGAAGTCCCAGAAGGTATCGTCTGTCTATTCTATCACTTAGGCCTCCAGATATGCAGGACCTGAGGAAGCAGTTACTCACTAGTTCACAAGTACGGCTCTAACCAAGCTGGTAGGACCAAGCCCTGCTATTAATCCTTGGTCCTCTGAAGCCCGAGGCTACCTGGCTGCTCCTGCTTTATAACCCATCCAGGAAGAAAATCACCTGGGAAACGAGGACCATGTTTTCTGAGAGAGAGGAAACACACACACACACACACACACACACACACACACACACACACACAAGATACATGGGCTGACACAGTACAGGACAGAGTACTTTAAATCAGTGCTATTGCAGATAATTTGACACAACAGCAGTACCTAGGAGGGTGGCAGAGTGGCCTTCACATGCCTACTATTTGGTTCTGGAGACCCAAGAACTTACACAGGGGAGAGATTGACCCTTTGGCTTTTTTTCAACTAAGAATGCTGTGAAATGTTTTAGAAAACATTTTTCTTTTATAGTAGGTCGTAGTGAATATACAATGTGAAAGTAATGCTTACTATCATAGGGTAAATTCTGCTTCAAGAATCGTACCAAAATGTCACAACCAAATTGAACATTACCTTCAAGGACCCTTTATTTGGGGATCCTAATGAGTTCTGATGACTATTATATAAGGTCAGGTTGTATAAAGTCTGATATTAAGTAGTTGTTGTTAAATACACATTCCTATGTTAGTGTATTTATGTAAAGTTGACATTTCTTTCCACCCTTTTGAACTCGTAAGCTGTACCTCTTTTTTGGATCTGGTTTGGAAGAAGTCTCTTTCAAACACTCCTTTCTGGCTAAAGATGGAAGGATATAGCAATGAATAGGCATTTCCTTCTTCACCATAATTCGTTCTATCACTGATGCGGCGAATTCGGGGGACAGGGATATCAGATCGAATGGTTGGAACACCATAGATGGGATAACCTAGGACATCATTGAGGGAAGAAAACACATATTTTGAAACGGAGCTGCGTAATACACTAGCCACCAGCCACATGTGGCTATTTTGAGCACTTGAAATGTGGCTAGTCTGACTTGAGATGTGGAAGAATTATAAAATACACACTGAATATCAAAGATCTTGTACCAAAAATGTGAGATATTTAATCACTTTATATTGATTACTTGTTGAAATGATAATATTTTAGAAATATTATATACATTTATATATATGTATACTATTAAAATTAATATTACTTGTTTTCTTAATGTTGCTATAAAAATTTATAAGTACATATGACTCCAGTTATATTTCTATTAGACAGCACTATTCTGAAGAGTAGCAAGACCTCATTATACCAGAATGTATAGCAAGTCTATAAAATTCAGTTACAAAAAAAAAACATGTATATCATTAATCATGTCCTTATTATCCTGAAGTAATCTTGATCAACATAAATTAATCTTTCTAAATAGCCAATAAACATCATATACTATATGGAGATATAGGGTGTTATGGGTTAAACTGTATCTTCCTCAGATTTATATGTTAAAGTTCTAGCCCCTAGTACTTAGAATGCGGCCTTATTTGGAAATAGGGTCATTGTAGATATAATTAATTAAGTTAAGATGAGATTGTACTGGAATAGGATCCTAATCTATTGTGACTGGGGTCCTTAGAGAAAAGGGGACATTTGGCAACTCGCACAGGAGAATGCCATGGGAAGGTGACGGCCGAGATCGGGGTGATGCAGCAGAAACCAAGTAGCGCCAGAGATTGCCAACAAGCCACCCAAAGCTGGGGGAGAGGCCTGGAACAGATTCTTCCTCAGAGCTCTCAGAAGGAACCACCCCTGCCAACACCGTGAACTCGGACTTCCAATCTCCAGAACTGTGAGATGGTAAATTTATGTTGCTTAAGACACCCAGTAGGTGGTCCTTGTTACGGCAGGACTAGCAAACTTATAGATGGAAAATGAAGATAGTGAGAAACCTTTTGTAAGAGCTCTTCAAATAGTTGAAGGCAAACCTGTGTGTAGCTAAGAGTCACCTAAAGCTCAGTGACATCTGATTACTACACTGTGTACCATTCAGTGTTCTGATCTGTGACGGTTTCAATTTCATTAACATCCAGAGAATCCTTTTACTTGGATCACCACTAACAATAGATCAGCCTAAACTTACCAAGACCCCCTGGGTGCTTGGATATAGAATGAAACAAAAGATCCTAGGCTTTGAGAAACTTACAGCCTCATGGAAATCAAGGCTGGGGATGATGCAAGGGCAGATGAAGAACACATCACTTCCATGTTTGCTGATCATTTTAGATCTCAACAAACGCCTTGACATACTCACACATGGTAGGGACAGCTCCTACAACCGCACTGATATCAGAAGAAGTGGTCTTATAGTGACTGGAAACCTTATCCCTTGGCCTCAGAAGTGTCCGGAGAGTCTTTTCTGAGTTCTCATTTAAGACAATGTCTTCAGGCTGTATCAGGAGGGTTGGTTCTGATTCTTCAGTATTAGCCTCAGCAGGGTTTGCACAATCTGGTTTTGTACCTATAAGCAAAGAGGGAAAGGGGGAAAATGTACAGGAAGAAGTTACTACTTGGTTCTTACAACTCCACAACAAAAGCATTTTCCCCAGTTAGTTTCTTCTTGCTGGTGGAAAACTGAGACCGGGCTGGTGTAAACCCTCCCCAGATACCAGCACCCCACTGTGGAAGAGCAAGTTCAGGCCAAAGTCATATCCCAGGAAACGGAAACCTGGTCTAATGTTTCTTTTCACCATTCCACTCCCTTGACTCTAGAACAGTGGTTCTCAACCTGTGGGTCACGACCCTTTGGGGGTCGAACGACCCTTTCACAGGGGTCGCCTAAGACCATCGGAAAACACATATATAATTACATATTGTTTTTGTGATTAATCACTATGCTTTAATTATGTTCAATTTGTAACAATGAAATTGGGGGTCACCACAACATAAGGAACTGTATTAAAGGGTCGCGGCATTAGGAAGGTTGAGAACCACTGCTCTAGAATAAAGCTCTTAAGTATGAAAGAATAAAAAAACATAGAACCTATTATTTTTATTTCTTCTCTTTAAAAATTAGAGCTTGCTTTCATATTTAACTTGAACTACAGGATTACCACAGTTGTTCCTAGCAAAAGACACACTTAGAGCCCTGACCGGTTTGGCTCAATGAATAGAGCATTGGCCTTTGGACTGAAGGGTCCCAGGTTCGATTCCGGTCAAGGGCACATGCCAGGGTTGCGGGCTTGCTCCCCAGTTGGAGGGCACACAGGAGGCAGCCAATCGATGATTCTCTGTCATCATTGATGTTTCTATCTTTCTCTCCCTCTCCCTTCCTTTCTGAAATCAATTGTTTTTAAAAAAAGACACATGTAGAGTTGTAAATTCCATACATACCTGATCATGGAAGGGAAGGCCTGTGTATTGAAACATTTGGAGAAATTATAACTCACTGTGAGCTCAGGAGCTGATTAGTAGTATATAAATAACTCCCTTCAAATCCGTGTATAAAAGAAAACCCTGAGGTAGAACTGAAATTATAAGATTCTGACCTATTTTGCGGATTTGCTTTGCTGAGTCAATTCTGAAACTTAGGAGTACATTCCTGACATTCTTTCCAACAGAGCTGGTAACTGACACTCGCACTAGAGGGCGCTGTGGCCTTTCACTCTCTACAAGAACTCTTGGTTCTGAAAAAGCTCAAGCCAGGTTTGCAAAGGCAAATGGTGCCCCAGCATGAGAGCGGGGTGGGAACAGTGGCGAACCAGAAAATACATGTCTCTGTAAAGTCTGCACCCCCCATTTAGCACCTGCCAGTTGTTGCCATGAAAGCATTCAGGCCCATTGCAGATCCTCTAAACCCCCCTCCAGCCCCCCACTCCTCCCCAAACACACAAAAAAGCAGAAATTTGTTCAAAGTGTGAAAACCTATTCCTCAGAAAACTGTTTGAAGGCCACTATCTTAAAGTACTTACCCCATCACCACCACCTTTCCTGCAGAAGTCAAAAGTAGGATAGATTTGATATAAGACAATTTCTGAGCCCTTTCTGACCCATTGGACACTATCTTAAAAGATAAAAATCTCAAGAATTCCATAGAAAATGGCTGACAAAGTCTGGCCCCAAATCCTGACATGAAAACTGTCTGGTTTGAAAATAGGCTTCTGCTTCTCCCCACCCCCACCCCCAACTCATGAGTTGTGCCAAGAAGAACAATTTGACTCCTCTTATGTGAAAAATAAGACAAATTCATTGAACTGATGTGGTAGAACTCTTTCTTTTTTCTTCAACGAAATAATAGGTGTTGCATACCCTACTTTTGAAGACAATGCTCATACTTCTGAGAGCTTCATTAGGTAGGGAAGATGTGCCTGCTTCCCTAGGGGGTAGACTAGAAAGTCCATCCCAGAAACTGGTAAGGCCTCATGTCATCAGTACAGCCCAAAATTTGGTTTTGGTCTTGCAGAAAGGCATGACCAAGGAATAAAAATAAAAGCAGTAGGCCTTAGCTGGTTTGTTCAGTGGTTAGAGTTGGCTCTTGGACTGAAGGGTCGGGGGTTCGATTTTGGTCAAGGGCATGTACCTCGGTTGCAGGCCCGATCCCTGGACCCAGTCAGGGTGCATACAGGAGGCAACCAATCAATGTATATCTCTCTCTCTGTCTCTCCTCCTCTCTCCCTCCCTTCCACTCTCTAAAACAGTGGTTCTCAACCTTCTGGCCCTTTAAATAGTTCCTCATGTTGTGACCCAACCATAAAATTATTTTCGTTGCTACTTCATAACTGTAATGTTGCTACTGTTATGAATCATAATGTAAATATCTGATATGCAGGATGGTCTTAGGCGACCCCTGTGAAAGGGTCGTTTGACCACCAAAGGGGTCGTGACCCACAGGTTGAGAACCGCTGCCCTAAAAATTAATGCAAAAATATCCTCAGGTGAGGATTAACAAAAAAATAGAAGCAGAAGTATCTTCACTTTTTAGAAGAGAGAAAATAAAAATGTAAACAACCATTTAAAATAGTTATCTTTCTCTAATAATCAAGATTTGAAAATTAAAGCAAATGATGCATCATTATTATACCAACTAAATTACAAGAATGTTTGAAATAACACTCAGTGGTAACACAGTTGGAGTAAAATTGTCTCACAGCGTTGGCTGGTAAAGTTGCAAATTGGTAAAATCATTTAGAAAAGTGAAACGAAAATACGTAAAGAGAGTTACTTCTGGGGTAATAACAGCATTCATAAGAAATGAGATATAATTAGAAACAGAAAGCTTTTTGAGAGATAATCGTTATAGTGTTACCCACATTACTTTAAAACTGTCTGGAAACAACCAAAATGTCAGAGTAAGGAAATGGTTTAGTAATTCATAATACAACAGCATGAAGGAACTGAAAATGAAGTTTACAGAAACCATAAAAGTATCTCTTCATTCCACAGTAATTTGAAAGTTAAATTTTAAAAAATAATAAAATAAAAATGGTACATTCACTGTGATTTTAGCTATCTTTAAATATATGCATACACACATACAAATATGTATATATGTATATCTATATATAATTAGTGATGCAGGTATATAATATGTAAGCATGAAAATATTTGCATGAAAGTAAAGATTATGGTTTTATTTTTTGTTGTTATTGTTTACGAAAACTAACCGGTTAAATTTTCCTTTGTCAAATTCTACTTTACTATTCATTTTCCCTGGGGGAGGAGAGCTAATCCTATATCATAAAAGCCTGATATGCAAATTGTCCCCTTGACAGGGAGTTCGACCAAGGGGCGGGGCCAGCCAGCCAACCACAGGAAGGCAGCAGCTGGGGTAAGAGAGGCCCCAATTGGCAGCCGGCAGCCGCTCGGGACCCTACCCGTGCACAAATTTCATGCACTGGGCCTCTAGTTACTCTATAAAAATGATTTGTGAACAGCTTTCTGAGGAACTGTATATCATGTTTTGGGCTTCTGAATAAATTCTTTTGCTTTTAATTTTTTTTTATCTTAAATGAGTAATAAAATTCAAAAGATACAAAAACATAAGATTAAAAGCTGAGTCTCACTGCTATCCTATCCCTCAGCTACCCAGTTCCCCCTCCCTGGAAATAGCAAATGTTATCAAATTCTTTCCTACCCTTCTATGGATAGTCTATGCATAAACAAGCAAATAAATATGTATATATGTGCATATTTTTAAATACATAATATTAAAGTTGAGATGAGCTCCTAAAAATGAAAATATAAAAGTCCATTTAAGAGTTTGGCAAAGCTTCAAAAATTACCTTTAATGACAACCCTCTCTTCATACTCTTTCAGAGGCATTTTATCTTTCCAGGTAAGATAATTTGCAAATTCCAGGTAGTTAATCAGCCCATCATTATCCACATCACAGTAGTCAAATAGCTGGTCCAGGAGCTTCTCATCCAAGTGCAAGTTGGCTTGCTCACAAGCTTCCAGGAGCTCATCTTTATCTATCACCCCATCTCCCTTCTGTTAGACATAAAGCAAAAAAAGGTGCAGTGAGCGTTGTCTTCAAAAGTAGGGTATGCAACACCTATTATTTTGTTTAAGAAAAAAGAAAGAGTTCTACCACATCAATTCAATGAATATGTCTTATTTGTCACATAAGAGGAGTCAAACATTAAGCAAGATTGATCTTCGTGGTGCCAATCTGCTATGTGCACAGTAATTTCAACCCTGGTTAGAGCAAGGTGTGGCTCAGAATCTTTGTTAATTCTATTTAATAATTTTTTTCATTTAAATCATGCTGTTTACACTGAGAAGATGTGACCATGACTCATGCCCGACATTTCATCTGAAGCATGCTGTGACAGCTCTCTACAAGGTTCCTTGCTTTCAAAGTGTTCTGGTGTCCCAACTGGGCAGTGAGTGATCCTCCACTTCACGACCTGGTAATGAGAAAGAATTGGGGAAGCAGCTGCCAGGCAAGTACAGGGAGGTGGATTCTAAGACAGTTAGTTGCCTGCTTGTTGTTAACACTCCTATGGGCAAGAGGGGCCTGCTACCAATTTGGTGGTGAGCCCTCATTGTGACAATTAGCACTACAATTCATCCTGGTCTGGTGGGAGGGGAAGTCTGCACCCCCTTTCAGAGAACAGTTCAATACAGGAGCACCTACACTGAGTGTTACAGGAGGGAAATGTATGACGACCCTGGGCAGAAACTGGCTGATTTCACTTGGGAGGTGTGGGGGCAGAGCCCATAATGCTCATGAAGGAAGAATGACAAGAGTTGGGATGTCTTCCTTCTCAGCTCCTCCTAAAATCTCTTAAGCCAACCTTGAATTCATTCAAAGATGACAGTGAAAGATCTGAGTATGTCCCCCGTGGGTCCTGGCTGCTATAAGGGAGCTTTGGCCCTCTCAGAGAGATTTCTCTGAGATAAAAGAAGGAGGAGGAGGAGGAGGAGGAGGAGGAGGAGGAGGAGGAGGAGGAGGAGGGGGAGGAGGAGGAGAAAAGAAAGGAGGAAATATAAACACACACACAAAAGAGAGAGATTTCTCTGAGATAAAAGAAGGAAGAGGAGGAGGAAGGAGAGGAGGAGGAGGGAGAGAAGGACAAGGAGAAGAAAAGAAAGGAGGAAATATAAATACACACACACACACAAATATAAACACAATCTCTCAGAGAGAGATTTCTCTGAGACAGACAAGGGAAGCCATAACTGACTCATTGACTAGTATTCAGCTCTTATGTCCAGGATTGGATTTACAATGATGGTGATCCCTGGAGACCAAGACACTGACCCTATAGTTCTAGATAAATTCCTGTCTTCACATCCGTAGGCCTGGAAAATGTCCCTAACCCTTATGTTGAAACAGAAGGAGAATTTAAAACATACCATTTTGTGTGTGTATGTGTGTGTGTGTGTCTGTTTCTATTGAAACATAATATCTTGACAAGGGAGCTACAAATGCCCTGGATTAAAGTAGACTCCTTTATGAAATCTTCTGCTACAAACCCGAGTCAACCAAAAAAGCAAACCCCACAGCCCTGGCTAAAAAGCAACGTGGGCTGTGGCTGCTGAATCAAGAGGATCTTCAAAACGGAAATAGATGGTGTCAATAATGACAACTTTGCTGCCCAGTATAGGGCTTTGTGTGGACTGAAAACACTGGTGGTTTTTTTCATCTGTGTGGCCTGACAACGTTGGCGGTGTGTTTCTTTGAGCTGCCGGCCACCACCACACCACTCAAAACTGAAAGTATATGTTTCTTACTCCCTGGTGCAGACACCCTCTCTCCCTCTACGCCCTTAATCTCTCGCTCCCCAGACCCCACCTCAGCAGTTCTAAGAAAGATGACTAGACGTGGGGCTAAGGTCTCCCTGTCCGCACGGGGGATCAAAGGCCACATGCAGCTGTCTGAGTACGCTGTGGAACTTCAGGGGGGCAGAGACTCCAACTTTCGTGGCTTCTTTGAATACAGGTGCCAAAGTCATCATCCTACTCAGTCTGTGGGGGAGGAGCCATCTGGATGCAGCTAGAGGGCCTGGGCAGAGTTTGTTTGATGTGGAGAGGGAAAGCTAGCAATAGCATATTTCTGTGGCTTCCACTGCTACACGTGTTAAGTGATATTAATACTTTAAGTGCCTGTACTGGGAATGTTCTTAAGACCCAGAGGCACTCATGATCAAGAAGAGCCACATGGCCATAAGCGGTTTGGCTCAGTGGATAGAGGGACGGCCTGTGGACTGAAAGGTCCCAGGTTCGATTCTGGTCAAGGGCATGTACCTTGGTTGCGGGCACATCTCCAGTGGTGGGTGTGCAGGAGGCAGCTGATCGATGTTTCTCTCTCATTGATGTTTCCAACTCTCTATCTCTCTCCCTTCCTCTCTGTAAAAAATCAATAAAATATATTTTTTTAAAAAAGAAGAGCCACATGTAGAGAACTGCTAATACCTTTGGGGCCCCACAACCCTAATGGCCCCTTTGAGCTACAAGTCTCCATGACTAATGAGTTTGTCACTTAGAGCCTCTGGAAAAAGAGAGGCAACCTCCACTTGAAGGCACCCCTTGAGATTTCAGACTCGTTGCCCCCTTAACCAGGCAGACAGCTTTTGAAAAGCAGCTAATAGCCAGTTCCTGAGCTCTTGTTGAAACTAAACACTTGACCCATGGAGGCCTTGTAACTTTCCAGGCCGATAAGCATTTTGAAGTGAGCCAACTTGGACTCAATGATTAACAAGATAGAAAGGACTTAACAAGCCTCATTTGTGAAATGGTAATGGTATATTCAAGAAGGCAGCCGGCTTGACCCCAGTTACATCTCAGTTTTACATGAAAAGGGGGAAAACTTGATGCATCTTTGCTACCTGAAGCAAAAGCCACTGGCTCAACAGGACCATTCAGTTCACAGAGGCTCCCCATGTGCCTGGGCCTCATTCACTAACCTGAAAGCCAGTGGTCTTCACTGGGCTGCTGTGGCTTTGAACCTCAATGACAGCTCCGAAGGACCGAAAATAGACATATAGTCACTCTACCCAGTGAACAGAAATCAAGGCCATTCTTATGGCTCTGGCCAATCCTCCCCTTGACGAAGCTGCTATAGTTTTACTGACTCTTGGATTGTTGCCAATGGCCTGCCTGCTTGGTTTGCCATTTGGAAAGCTATAGACTGGAAGATTAAAGACACTTCTTTTTGAGTCTGAAAACTATAGAAACGGATCATGGCTACTGAATGAGCCCTCTGGGTAATTCATATAGATGACCATGATAAGGGTCCCATCTCTAATGAGAATAACTGGAATCAAGCTTCTGATTGAGCCTGATCCATTCAGATTGCCACCATGGCTGTCCGGACCCATCGTTGCACCAGACATGGCAACACACCCACCACAACAGACAAGGCACAAAGTAAAGCACTCTATGTTTCTGATGCAGAGGCTACCACCCTGTGACAAACTGTGACTCCTGCCACAAGCTGACCCATCAGTCTCATGATGCGGGGGACACATTGCACACAAGACATTGCTCCATGCTCCTGGCAGGCTGACCTTTGTCCCCTCTCAGAGTTATGAATGGTGCCTCACCACTGTTGACACATTTTCAAGTTATGGAACGGCTATGCCTAATCAACCAGCTCCCGTTGCAACAGAATGGCCCATGAAATTTATCTGAGTCATGTGTTTTGCTTTCTGGACCATTTTCAGTCTGACAGTGCTGTGCCTTATAGCCCAAAAGCAACTCAACAATCAGCTTTTCAGCAAGGTATTCAATGAACCATTCCTGCTCTCAACCATCCACAGCCATCTGAGCTCTGGAATAGCCTCAAAAACAGACTACCTTCCTTATCAGCTCCTGCTCATACATCTTACAGTAAAGCAGTTTGTCTCTGAATGCAGCTGCCCCCCAAAAGGAATCCATCCCATCTCAGCTACTTCCTGGATAATAATTAGAATAAAAGGAGTGAGAATTATATTGGCCTAATTTTGAAAATGTGGGACTCTGTTGTGACCATTCTTGGACATGATGGATCTTCCACCCTCTAGATTTTAAGTTCCCTAAATGGAAAGTCTACACATTATCCAGAATAATGTTTGATGTATGGTGTGCTCAATAAATAACAGAATTAACCCTCTAAGCCAAGAAGATTCATTTAAGAAAGAATATCTTGTTAGTTTTGTTTTGGCATTAAATTAAAAATGGGCATTCAAGCCCTAGCCAATTTTGCTCAATGGATAGAACATCGGCCCACAGACTGAAGGATCATGGGTTTGATTCCAGTCAAGGGCATGTACTGGGGTTGCAGGCTCCATCCCCAGCCCAGTTGCGGGGAGGGGAGGAGGAGGCAACCAATCAATGTGTCTCTCTAACATCGATGTTTCCCTCTATCTCTTCCCCTTCCACTCTCTTAAAAAAAATTCAATGGAAAAATGTCCTTGGTGAGGATTAACAGAAAACACACACACACACACACTATAATTAATTAATTAATTAATTAATTTTTAAAATGGGCGTTCAACGATAGAAAATTCAAATAATCAAAAATTATCCTACAGCTGTAGTAGGAAGACCCACATCTTATTACTCTCTCAGAAAAAAAGCTCCTCAAGGACACTGAGCACTACATTACACATATTAAAAATTTACTATTTAAAAGGTGTATCAGCATTAAATAATTCTCAGTAATTTCCTCTCTGCTTAATTTAATTGTATCATAAGGAGTATGCCTGGTGGTTCACTAAGATAATCAACATCTATTAAGATGATCGTCTTGCCTATAATTACATTTAAAATGAAGAAGTTTTTAAAAGCAGAGCACTATGTATGGGTAGGTTTTCTTATTCATATAACTGCTACATAAATTTCCCCGGATACCATCTTTGTAAAATAACTTGGATTTGAGTTAAGCTTAAAATGTATTTATTTTAGCGTACATATTTTAATTCTGAAGAATCATTTTTAAATTACCTGTAAATAGCAATTGGTCTCTACTGAAAAACCAGAGAAACCGTTGAATACTTCTCTTTTCTTTAAACACAACTATGTGAGAAGTGTAATTGATGACTGGTTGGTGTGTGTCCCTACATAATTGGTACACACCTAAATGAGAATATTAACCCACTTTTTATGCATTAGGACAACACAGGCCCTAATCTAAAAACAAATAAAATGAATGGACTTAAAATTAATTAGCCTATGAGTGATTAAGATTCTTTTAAGATAACAAATTATGAAGTGTAACTTTCTCAAAACTATACTCAACAGAGGAAGAGAAATAGGAATATTATTTTTTTCCTTTTGAGAGAAACTAAAATTATTCTGTTTTTTTCTTCTCATATCAAGATGATACATCACATTATCACAGACTTATTTATAAACTTTTATTTGTTTATATTAGAATCATTCTAAAATGGTTGCTAGACTGCCTAGAAAAATAAATACAATTAATAAAAATAAGAACAAAATAAAAACAGAACCAAAATAAAAGTGAGGAAATCAAAGCAAAGAGAATATAAGGATGGAAAAAATTAAGATGAAACTTGAATAAAAAGATCATACAACATGTATACTATAAGATCATATTCACAAACTAGATGAGTTTCATTGAATTGGCTCTGAGCTTCCTGGTGGCCTAGTCAAAAAGGTCTGGACAATTAGTGCAAAATTCGTGTTGTTCATAAGGTAAAGACAAACCAAATACTTAGAGGAAGCACAGTTATTACCTGTGGAAAGACAGGGTTTCCTTATAAAGAGAGAGCACATGAAAAAAATAAATAGTCTCGTGGACATAATAACAAAAATGTGCCATGGCCTCATAAGCAGTTTATATAATAGTGTTCCTTAGTATAACCTAAAGGCAAGCAGCTTGGTAAAGCAATCCTCTGATGACCTATAATGATGTCAGGTAATCCCAAAGCTCTAGATTGATCTACTTTATCAAAGGATAAAATTTAGAGTAACTTGAAAATTGAATGGTCTTGCCATCTCAAAACTGAAACCACACCCTGCTCCCCCAGGGGAGAGACATTCTAAGTGTGACATGGACCTAGACCAGTGGTTCTCAACCTTGGCTGCACACTAGAATCACCTGGGAATCTTTTTAAAATCCTGATTTCTGGGCCTATGAAATCAGGATTTTAAAAAGATTCCCAGGAGATTCTAATGTGCAGCCAAGGTTGAGAACCACTGACCTAGACTGACAGTACTGTGTGTACATATTCAGATTTAGATGTAGATTGTCTCTATCTCAGGAGTCTTCCCCAGGGTTCCACGGTGCTTCCCTCCCATTGCTCCCAGCACACTCTAGTTAAATAATCTACATCAATGGCTCTCAAACGTGAATGTGCATCAGATTCACTTGAAGGGCTTGTGAAAGCACCGTTGCTAGGCCCCACCCCTGAGTTCCTAATTCAGTAGGTCTGGGATGGGTGTTGCAATGTGCATTTTAAACACATTCCCAAGCGATAGCGATGGTGGTCAAGAACCACACTTTGACAACCACTGCAAAGGTCAGAACATTTTTTTCTGTCAAGGACCAAAAAGTATATATTGTATGTTTTGTAGGCCATGCAGTCTCTGATGCACTACTGTGCATTTGTAGTGCAAAAGCAGCCACAGACAATACTCAAAACACATGGGCATGGAAGCCTATTTACTAAAACAGGAGGTGGACTGGATTTGACCCACAGGCCATAGTTCCCTGGCCCCTGGTCTGCACCCATCTGCAGGGATCTGGAAGCCTATGCACACACCAAAAAGCTCTGCTCTGCTACTGGCCTTGTCATAGTGCCTGAAGGCTGTCAGCAAAGAGTCAAACCTTTCGCAGTTAACGTTCTTCAAGTGATGACGAACTGCTGCAACCATGGCTCGCTCCCTATCCTTGCCTCGAAGATATTCACTCGGGAGTCTATTATAGATGAGATCATCAGAGCCTATTGAGGAGGGGGAGAAAAGTCTTTTTATCTGATTATAAAGTTTGTCAATAGTATTCTCATGCTAAAGAGAGTGATCAAACAACTTCTATGAATGAAAAATCTACCTAACTCCAACACTATGATCCAGCATGACAAAATCTTGTGTATAAAAAAGTACATGAAGTAATGGACAAAAACTAATATTTCTGTTTTATGTGACTTCTCTGTTCAATGAAAACAAAATCTGAAGAAATAAATTTTGTGGGGGCATCATTAGCCCTGATCAGCTGTCAAGTCATTTGCTATGACAGTGGAGGCCTGACTGCCTCTTAGCAGATATTCGGCTGCAATGCTGAGGACTGAAAAGCTGGGGCTGATTTCATGTGGGGGCAACTCTATATGCCTCAGAGATGGCTGAACCTCTGGGAGTCCCTGTAAAAACTGTTCTCAAGCCTGGCCGGCGTGGCTCAGTGGTTGAGCATCAACCCATGAACCGGGAGGTCACAGTTCAATTACCGGTCAGGGCACATGCCTGGGTTTTGGGCTCGATCCCCAGTAGGGGGCATGCAGGAGGCAGCTGATCGATAATTCTCTCATCATTGATGTTTCTATCTCTCTCTCTCTCTCTCCCTTCCTCTCTCTGAAATCAATAAAAACATTTTATTTTGCCCCGACTGGTTTGGCTCAGTGGATAAAGCATCAGCCTGCGAACTCAAAGGTCCCAGGTTCGATTCCGGTCAAGGGCATGTACCTTGGTTGCGGGCACATCCCCAGTGGGGGGTGTGCAGGAGGCAGCTGATCGATGTTTCTCTCTCATCGATGTTTCTAGCTCTCTATCCCTCTCCCTTCCTCTCTGTAAAAGATCAATAAAAATATCTTTTGAAAAAACATTTTCTTTTTAAAAACTGGACTCAAATTCCCTACTCCCCCCTAATATGGGTTTCTAGTCCACCTTCAGTCTGCAGATCAAGTTCCCATTTCCCAGTCCTGCTTCTCCCTATACCACTACCAACACCGCTACCCCATCCACAGTTTCATTAACTGAGAGTAGCAAGGGCCAATACAATATTTGATTCAGTAAAAGGCTGCCTCACTTCACTTTGGCTTGTTTAATACAGGCCATATTTATTTTCTAAATAAAATTGTGAGCCCTAATTGACTGAAGATATTAGTTACAACGGCTTTAATTTGTGCCTATTTCAAACATGACACAAAAAAACTTTTTTTCTTTCTTGTGTTACAAACTTTTCTTATTAATATTCATATGATATTTTAAGTCTCTAAAATTAGAAACTTTGAGAGGAGCTGGTGAACTTAACTGCATAACGTTGTGTGTGTGTTGGGGGGGGAGAGTTGGGGGGGTGTAGTTTGTTTTGTAAAGAGAAAGTCTGTATATTTACCATAGTTGTCAGGACGGAGACAAGCTCCAAATGTGTAGTCCGGATGAACATTCATTGTTTCTGCAATGCTATCCAAGAAAACAAACCCTTTAGTTAAAATACCCACCACATGGCATCCCTGGAATTTAAAATATGTTTGCCATATGTTTTTAATAGCCTATATTTTCTCCTATAACCAAACTATGACGTTATCAAACAGACGGTCTCCAGAGACAGAGAAGAGAGAGGAAAATGTAACACAATAAGTTAAGAAATAAAGCTTCACACCAAGTTCTCCCTCTCTCTTCTCCAAATGCCTCTCCATCGCGGAGACCTCAGCACTTTCCTGCAACCAAAGGCCCTGAAGAAGCTGACCGATAAACACACAAGGGTGGCTTTCTTATTTAATAGATAGAAACAAATAGAACACAAGCCAACATTTGCCACAAGAGTACTTTTAAAATTCAATCTACAGACACTCGCGATTTGAAGTTAATCATTAACTTACGGATCAAAGACTCTTCCAAGTTTATGTTGAAACTTTTCTTTGAAATCATCAATTCTCTTGGATACAACCTTAGCTCCTCTTTTCCTATAAAATTAGAAAATTGTCAGTTATCTCCATCACCTAAAGTATTCTTGGCTGCCAAATATACAAATGGTAAGGAAAATCATAGTATACTTCAGGCCATCAGGAAAATAAATCCAATTTCAAAATAAATCATATGCTAAAAAGAAAGCTCTATGCTCATTCTTCTATCATTCTACTAGTGGCCCGGTGCACAAATGTGTGCACATTGAAAGGAAATTAATTAGAAGAAATATTTTAATATTGCTATTCACCCTTTTTCTATAATAGAAGTGTCAACCAAATTCGATCGACAATGACAGATCAAAACACATGCGTGGAATTGGCTCCAGCAAGAGCTTTATATGTATTGTACATGTGTGAGTCAACTTAGCCTTTTATAGTATAGAATAAACTTGCTTAATTAGACCTGCTTTCTGATTTAGCTAAACTTTTTCCAGCCCAGTGAAGCACCCCAACTTCTCTTTCAGGTAATTGTCAGCAACACAGCAATAAATATCAACACGAAGCAGATTATTGTTGTAGATCACGCAGGAAGAACAAAGGGTAAAATATTTAACTGCAGCAGTGTTTGACTATATTCTGCACAGTGAGAAAACCTGAAGTCATTTTCAAGGTCCACCATTTCTTACTTCTTTTCAAGTTTCTAAGCTTTCTAAATCTCCATTTTCCAGCTAATGAAAAGAAAACAGGATTCCACTGAGTCTCCTATCTACCTACTCCAGGACTTCTGTGAGGATCAAATAAGATGAGGCATGAGAAAATGCTTCACAGACATTTGGTTAAAGTGTGAAATGTTTCCACCTGGGCCGAAGAAATTTCAAAGAGGCTTGTCACTAGAAAGAAGAAGCCAGGCGTTGCTACGTGACATCATTACCTGGACAGTCGGACACTTAGCATGTTAGCCTTTTATATATATAGATTATAAAGGTAAGTTAATAATACAACCTGAAATTTTTTTAAAATATATTTCTTTATTGATTTCAGAGAGGAAGGGAGAAGGATAGAGAGATAGAAACATCAATGATGAGAGAGAATCATCAATCGGCTGCCTCCCGCACACCCCCCACTGGGGATCGAGCCTGCAACCCAGGCATGCGCCCCTGGCCATAATCAAACCTGGGACCCTTCAGGCTGACACTCTATCCACTAAGCCAAGCCGGCTAGGGCACAATCTGAAATTTTAATGAAAGAATAAGAAAGCAGACTTCAATTTGTTTTCAATGAACAAAACCAAGGTGCCTAACTTTTAAAATTGCTAAAAGAAAATTAAGCATTAAATAAATAAATAATATAAACAGTTAACTCACACCTAGTAAGTAAAATATAGAGAAATTATAATACTATCTAGTAATGAAAGAATGCAAAGTAAAAACAACAAAGTACTACTTTTAACATAGTACACTAGCATATATATATATATATATATATATATATATAGCCTATCTAATAAAAGAGAAACAGGGTAATTAACCGTAACTTCGCTACCCTTCCCATTGGCTAATCAGGGCGATATGCAAATTAACTGCCAACCAAGATGGCGGCCGGCAGCCAGGCAGCTAAAGTGAACAGATTTGCTTGCTCCAGTGACGGAGGAAGCCAAGATTCCCCGCCTGCCTTGCTGGCCTCTGAGCTTGCTCTCTAAGAAACGTTGCAAATATAGAAGCTAAACAAAACTCCAGAAACCTGCTTTCAGCCGTCAGAGCTGGAGCGAGTAGAACCGAAACAGTGTTACAATTATAGAACCCAAACAAACCCAGATCCCTGCTTTCAGCAGCCGAGGCCTCAAGCTGGAGCCGGCCTCAGAGCTAAAGCCGGCTCTCAGCTCCAGTGACAACTATAGAAGGTAAATAAATCCCAGAATAAAAAAAAAAAAAGAAAAAAGGAGAGGTTGGGAGCTTCAGTCGCCCGCCAGCCTGAAAACGGCCCTCAGCCCCTCACCCAGACTGGCCAGGCACCCCAGTGGGGACCTCCACCCTGAAGGGGGTGTGACCAGCTGCAAACAGCCATCATCCCCTCATCCAGGCTGGCCAGGCACCCAAGTGGGACCCCCATCCTGATCCGGGACACCCTTCAGGGCAAACCAGCCGGCCCCTACCCATGCACCAGGCCTCTATCCTATATAGTAAAAGGGAAATATGCCTCCCAGCACCGGGATCAGCGGAGCCTCGAGGCCTCACTGCCCCGGTGTCAAGCGGAGCCGCGAGACCTCCCAGCCTGGGATCAGCGGAGCCGCGAGGACTCCTGGCCCCTGGAGCAGCGGGCAGCGCCCAAACCCCCTGATCGCCCTGCGGCTCTGTATGTGACAGGGGGCAGGGCCACAACCTCCCTATCCGCCCTGCTCTGTTGGTGACAGGGGAAGGTGCCCCAACCCCCTGATCGGCCGTGCTCTGTGCCTGATAAGGGGGAGCTCCCCAACCCCCTGATCGGCACTGCTCTGTGCCTGATAGGGGGGAGCTCCCCAACCCCCTGATTGGCCCTTCTCGGCCCTGCTCTGTGTGTGACAGGGAAGGCACCCCAAACCCCCCATGGGCCCTGCTCTGTGTGTGACGGGGTAGAGCTGCAACCTCCCCATCGGCCCTGCCCTGAGTGTGACAGCAGCGGTGCCCCAACCCCCTGATCAGCCCTGCTCTGTGGGTGATAGAGGGCGGCGCCCCAACCCCCTGATCCGCCCTGCTCTGTGTGTGACAGGGGTCGGTGTCCCAACTCCCCTATCGGCCCTACTCTGTGCGTGACGGGGGGAGCTCCCCAACCCCCTGATCGGCTCTGCTCTGTGCGTGACAGGGTACGGAGCCCCACCTCCCTTGATGGGCCCTGCTCTGTGCATGACAGAGGGTGGCGCCAGAACCTCCCCATCGACCCTGCTTGAGTGTGACAGGGGCGGTGCCCAACCCCCCAATCAGC